AAGACGAGTGTGAAAAATTCTGAAAATTTTTCTTGTCGACATTTTTTCTGCGAAAAATATTAATTAATAGAGGCGAAAAATTTTACTCGTAAATATGTATAAATAAATCGTGCTTTGCATAGAGAAACGCAAGGGATAAGATTACGGTCATAACATTGTCTTAATCTCATTACTGGCAAATATAGTGAGAAAAATAACATAGAAAGAACCTTTTTGTCTAACCTGACAGTTATAATGGAACCTTTCTCTCTTCTGTTTGCGTTGAATAAAACAATAAGCTTTTCAATCTCAATTCTCATTAATACTGTTCGTTCGCTTTGTTGTTTTACATCTCTCGCATATAGACTAGAAATGCTGCACACTTTACTATTCTACAAATTCTGTCTGATAATTTTTTAGCAAATTCGTAACTAATTAATGCTTTATTAACATAAAGTCTACTCGAAAAAGCGAATTTTTTTACCAATTTGCAATTATAATTTAATTCTCTACAACTTTCTACGATATTTCTGTGCAATGAAAAAACGAATACATTTGAATAATGTATTTTCGCATATTTCTGTTTGTGATTGAAGAATTTTCTTCATACATTTATTCAATAGGGTGATATTTGAATACATTTTACGACGTTTTAATTTTTCTAAAATACACTCTCAATAAGAAAGTGATGTATAAAGAAATGTGAAGAGTATAAAGAAATCTTATTTTCTTTTCTGTTAAAAGAAAATAAGATTTCTTTATACTCTCTTCAAATACCTTCGTTTCTAGTTTCAAAGGATGCAGTACCTAGAATAGATTTTCGCTATGCAAAATTTTCCCTCGTATATTTGCGTTTTCATGAATAAACCTCATGAATCGAGAAACTCGAATTTCTGCTGCACATTTAGTCTGAAATCGGTTTCACAACACAACTACCGTATAAGAACATTAGCGATGTATGAAGCACAATAACGGCAATCAACGGTCGTCAAACACGTATCACACAATTATCTGCCACAATTAATTATGCTTGCTAAATATATTTGTCTCGACAAAATCACGATAGCGGAATAGATGCTTCATGATGAGCTCATCAAATTTTAACTGTATCCGAGCGAAGCTTCACGGTTGATCGGTCGATATCTTTCACACGAGAAGGAAAGCCGATCCTTCCGAACTCGATCCTTAACGATTGGCAGCGTACCGTTAGCATCGGGAAAATTTATGGCCGCCAAGAGGATGCTAACTCCACGCGATGCATTTAGCACTCTAATATCCAGCGTGAGAAACACTACGAATGAAGGCGTAAATCGTAATCTGTTATGTCGTGAAAATTCTCTCTTCCTGAGTAAGCGCATTTATTTGTAGCTCGATCTAGTTTTATCGCTTACTTATATTTATAACATCTAGAAGGTTTTAATATTTTTTGTACAGAATGTTCGTTCAAAATTCATACATCCTGTTTGCGATATATCAATTGAATGTACGTATATAAATTTAATTCATCTTAGTGTAAATTTTAATTTTGGCTTCGATTTTTGGAATTTTTTCTTTAATTTCTTTTGACTAAACAGTTTTAAGATATGGGTTTCGACAAAGCTTTATGGCATCTGTAGCGTCTTAACATGTACCTAGAGAATGTACCTACACAAAATTAATACATTTTTACAATGTAAACAAATTGAATAGATATAAATTTAATTTATCTCAGTTGAAAATTTTAATTTTGGCTTTAAAGTTTTGGATTTTTCTCGTTTTTTCGATTTAAAAGTTTCAAGATACACATGTTTCAAGTTTTGTAGGAATCCAATAACAAAAAGTATCACTTATATCTCAATGTGAAAGAGAGACCAACGAATATCTGGAATTTTTGCAATATAAATTTTAACAACGTTAAAGTTTCCGCGCCATACATTGACGGCATCGAATTGCGATTTTACCTCGTTAGGAGTTCATCGAGTACCGTTCATTAAAGCGGTGAACTCAATTTTGCAAAATTCCACCCCTCGTCTATCCCCGTTCGCGCTGATGACCAGCTCAGAAAGGTGGGCGTCTGTGACGCGTAGGCGTTATTTGAAATCACGAACTTCCCTCGGCGTGCAAATATCAAACGCCCACGCCATTGTTCGCTATGCAGCGACGGGGATGCACCGGCGATGACGCAAGAGGGGATATAATGCACGCGGCATATACACATCAGCAAAGGAAAGAGAAAAAAGGGGAGTGGTAGAGGTATAATCGACACAGCTTGACATAGCATTTGCGGATGCGAACGGTCGCTTTTTAATACTCGTCTCATAAATACAAAGGCGGACGTGGCCGACGAGAGATGAAAAGCAGGTAGGTGTGAGAACCTGCCGCACGTACCACACCACAATCCGATCGATACCAAATATTTACATGTACAACGGAATCGCGTTATTCCGATTGTATTACCTTGCGCTGGGACATTTGTCGATGGTTTTAATTAATGAAAAATATTCGCACGCGATAACGAGAACGCGAGACGACGTGATACATTTTTTTTTTTTTTTTTTTTTTTCGAATAATCAGGTGTGTATAACTGCGTTAGATTATTAACGCAATCATGCGAAGTGTTCCTTTGAGTAACTAATTCGTTCTGGCAAATGTCATTCACAAATACGGTACAAAGTATTTTTTTCCATAAATCCTATCTAAAAACACGTGCGCGATTAAATATTACACGCATACGCGCGCCTACGTCATGTGTACACATATGTACTATATATGTAATATAATCTAGTTTCTATAGATATAAATTTTTTTATAAATTAAATTAAATAGTATTTCGGTACATGTATTTCCGCAGTACTAAAATGAATTTGTCTGATTTTTCCATTTCGATTGAATTTACTCGCAATTTACATGAAATCTATTCTTTAGACTAAAATGTGTGTAATGAGTCGCTTGTTGGCTGACAAACGAGCAAATTGAGATTAATGAGCACGTTTTTAGCGCACCATCAATTCATTTTCACTTGTGAGACTATATATTGAAGTATATAACTACGAAGTGAAGTGTTCGCCGTAGAAAGGAAGAGAAAGAGATAGAAATTATGAAGCCGGGCGCAGAATTTCCCTTCGTTTCTTCTCAAGATCAATCTGGATAACTGGATATTCATGAGCTTTGAAGAATGCACTGAAATTCCCATTGGAATTCCCTGGAAATTACTATGTAAATTCATAACGAGGGGAACTGCGTGTGATTGACGTCGGTATGGAATATTAAATCACAGTAACAATTGCAACTCGATTATTGCAGATATTGATAACAAATCTTTTCATAAACAATGATGGTAACACGATCTGCATATTGATTATTATCTAATTATTTTATAAATACTTAATCTTTAATTTGTCGCGCGAATACGTCGTTAAATGAAATGGTTTGAGATCGTGGTAATCCCTCGCAATCAATCAGAGATTAAAAAATAATTTATTTAAACAAAATAATTCTATTTTCTGGAATTAATTTTAATAATATCTATTTTAATTTAAATCGATTTTAGATAAAGGAAATAAAATTAACTGAAAATTTGTTACAAAATCTAATATGTTTATCACTGATAAAATAAGCGAATATAATTTTACATCTGAAAAATTTAAAATCAGTCTTTTTTTCATTCAGTATTTTAAGGTATTTATTCTACGTCCGGCTACACATATATTTGAATTTCTAGGGATAAATAGAAATTTATATAAAATAAAGTTGTGAACTCACGTAAATCTTGCAATTTTTGTATCTAAAAAATATTTAGCCGATGAAAAGTTTAACAGTTCGTTCACAAACTGTTGCCAAAAATTGGAAAATTAATAAAAAAATATAGGTCTTTATAAATTATATTCTAAATATCAAACAATATTCTATTATTAAATTATATTCATTTGACTGCGTTATCGCTCAAAAATTTGTTGATAATACCGTAGAATGTTCGTTGTATCGCGTAACAACATTTACATAGACAATTTTTGCGTACGTTGTGATTTCAAAGCTTATTCTACTATATTTTTTATGCAAATACATATTTAGAAAATATGTAAATTTTGAATCACAGTAGCTTCACAATTAATCGCTTTCAGTGATAGATCAGAAGATATGCAAAATATTAAATTGCAAACATTTTTCTAAATTTGGAACAACAATTCCGAGTTAACAATAAGTCAAATTAAATTATCTAGAAATAAATTTTATATATTGAATTATAAATATATTTTAAATTACGTTATATGATATTTTAATTGAACTTATTTCAAATTGAAAAGAAAAATTATTCTCGAAAACGATTACATTATAGAGTGGAAATTCAAAATAAAAAATTATATTCTATTATTAAATTAATAACAGATCCAATATTTCCTTTATAAATCTATTAATTATCGTAATTAATGCATTTTTATATGCATTCGTTAAATCAAGCTTTGAGCAAACTGAACACATTAGAAAGAAATAAATGCATGTTTGGTAGAAGGAGAAAACTTAAGAGATTAATGCTGAACAGCATCTATAGATATCTAGAAGAATAATTTACTTTAAAAAAAGTAATTCCATCTTCTGGAATTAACTATTTTTAATCGATTCTAGATGAAGGAATCTATAAAGTTGATCGAAAATTTCGATTCTTGTCACAAAGTCTGATGTGCTTATCACTGGTATTCACAGTGTCTTCGATATGCAAATCGATACCACCTTTTGTCCCTTTGTATCGTTGCAACATGTCGGATTTTCCCGAGAATCGTGTATATGCACATACATACGTTGCGGCTTCACACAGGAAAATTGAATCAGTGGCTCCACATGTCGTCCGAGTTCGTAACACGCGCACAAATCTCTGTGAATCCCCGCGCTGGAATCTCTGATTTTTTTCCACTAAATTGCACTTAGCTCACAGCTCCGGCAGATGGTGCCGTTCGTCCGCTTGACGATCGTTACAAATGTCCGTAGGAGTCGACGCAATGCAAAAGCGCGAATTTCGAGCACGGACTACGTTCTTTCTGAGATGCTCAGAACTGCAGGATCTGATTGATCCAGTCGCGAAATTCCGAAATACGCGTGTAAACACCGGGTTGATTAGGCGCAGCGCAACCGATTCCCCAGCTGATAATTCCAGCAAGAATCCATCGTTTGTCTCGTGCTCTTTTGATGACCATCGGACCACCACTGTCACCCTGAAAAAGTTAAAAGGTCGCAAGTTAGAATATCAAAAGATATATTTTCTGATAATACATGTAATTCTTATATATATATTGTTGTGTTATAATAAAAATATAGTAAAGATATTTAAAAATATCTTTAGAAGATTGAAAAATCTTAGCAATAATTTTCAAATAATTTTTATAGACAACTTTTGCCCTTTGAAGTCTTCCAGAAATTTAATTTAATACTAAAAATTACTGGACAAACTGCTTTAAATATTCAAATAAGTAATTAATAACTACTTTCCAGTGTTAAATTATTGTAAGGTAACGTAGATAAGAGAGTTACCTAAAAATGTATTATTATATTGATATAAAAATTTGTAAGAACCAAACACAAATAATATTACAAATTATTATTGCTACAAATTTTTGTATTAATAATAAATCATTTCTAACTATAATATACGAAAGGCAAATTGTCTATAAGATATTTCAATTTTCTAAAGATTTGAAAAAATATTTTACTACCATATGTGACACACAGTCATATATGATTGTCAGAACTACGTGTATTACCGAAAGATGTAAATTATATGTATGATACTTTTTAATTGTTATTTTAAATCTCAAAAAAATTGAAATGGCACAAACGACGATTTTTTTATTTGTATAAAATCGCCAGCAGAAACTGACCTCGCAGGAATCAAAATCGCCGTTCCTCCAACCGGCACAGATAAATATATGTGGAATGTGCTCGATGTAACCCGCGTTTTTGTACATCGCTTCGCATACGTTATTATTGATAACCGGTACTGCAACCTCCTGTAACACGGACGGCAGTGGTCCTTCTGTAAAAGTAATTATATTTTTAGGCAAATAAGTGACTTGCGCAATAAGTAACAATGATTTATCTTGTAGTTTAATAAAAGTAGTACATCTAAAACATTCGACAGTTTTATTATTAATTAATACACTAATTAATACAGTTTCAAATATTAATACTCCGTTTGCAATATTTGGCACAAGTAAATTTTATATTTAAATTATAAACTTTCATGGTCCAAAAAATAAGAGTTTGTAAATTTTATATATTCAGAAATTTCTCTAAAATAAAAGAGAGTGGAGTCTGATTCTCCCTCTTAAAATATTGTTAAAAAATTATTTGATAATATAATAGAGATGTTAAAAGTAACCTTGAATTTTTTTACATTTTTTGAAATTTTAGAACAGTAAGAAAGATTAGACATAGGGAATAAAAATATGATTATAGACGGAGGATTAATATGAGGATATAAACTCCAAGATGTATTGTTGATTCACTTAATTAATTATGACATATTTTAATACCGTCTTTGAGTCTACCCCAGCCAGTAACATAAGCGGTACGACCAACGTAGGTTTCATCATCGTCTGGCAGGCAGATCGGCAAGACATTTGGTTGGAACAGTAGGGGCTCATAGAATCTCAACAGAGCAAGATCATACTCAAAAGTACGTGCGTCGAATTGTGGATGGCTCGCCACAATTTGTACTCTTCTCTCCTGATACATGTACGGCTCATCTTCGTTCGCCAAATCGTGTTCGCCGATCCTTAACAATAACTCGGTGGGTGGTACGCTGTAAAACATATGTCAATGCATTCACTTGCCGGAAAATTCCATCCGGAAATCAAACGCTGTTCGCAATCTTCCGTTACATCTCAAATAATAATGTCGTGTTATAAGACAAGAAATTAAATTCAGCGTTAAAAAATTAAAAAGAATTCTGAAAAAAGAGGTTGAAACGCGATGACAATGCAAAGAATAAAATTCAGAAAAAAGACGTCGTGAATAGTAAATCCGAAAAAAAATTACGGAATTCTTATTCTCTTGAAAGGGGAACAGCTTCCTTCTTACGATGTTCTACTTTAGGACGACAATCCATATAATCCTGGTCGTGCTTCTCAAATATATTAAATGAGAAAATGTTTATACAAGCAGAGACAATCTCTTTTCATCGCGTGGAGACGTCATAAGCGAGTGCATGTTGTCGCGATGAGACTTCACGGTGCAACGTTAAAGAACGCTGTGGATAGCATGATGATCGTACGAGTGGGAGAAAACTTGATTATGTCGCAGTTATGGCAAACACTTACCTTTCGACGCAGTGCGCTGCGGTAATAGCCCAGTTCTCGTTCAACAATGCCGCGCCGCATTTGTGCAGATATGTCTGGGATCGCCATTGACGTAATGAGATCTGCAAGGAAATCCGCCACGTGAGAAAATCAATCGCCGTACGTTGCGTCGATCGATCATCTACGCATTATCTTTAGTACGTAATAAAATGACTGTTGAAAAGTCATTATCACGATTACATCTTTCTGTATAAGATTTAAAATAGTATATTATTATTGTGTGAAATTGTCTTTGTTTGACAGACGGTGGATCGAATTTTAATTTTTGATGGTCTCAGAAAGGTCAAATTTTACTTCTTTAATAAATTTTTTGAAATTACGCACTTAACACCGATTATCTTTAAATGATCATCAAATTTGTGATTTACATTAATTTGCATTGATGTTTAAGTAAAGTGTATAAATAATATGATAACATAGCAAAATGTTACGTAAATATAGTGTATCTACTTCCTAAAACTTTTAGAGGGAATCTGACTCGAAAGATTGAAATCTCATCACTCTTAAAGATTGAGACACTCCTTTTTAAGAGTGGCTCAATTTTCACTTTTTGAAGTAAGAAACTTCAGGGAATTTAGAAAGTGTATAAAGAAGCTAATTCTAACTGCTTTGTTTGCGAGCTTCATCAAGCTCACCTGCCAAGGCCATTTTCCGAAGGAACTTTCCTGACCGCCGACGATCTTGGGCTGCGGAAACATTCTTCGTCCGCACACTGCAAGAACAAACAATGTCGAGTTAAATCGCATCAGTCCCAATTGGGCGGTCATGCTGGAGAACGGACGCGCTGCGTTTGTTCGACTGGATGGATGAACCGGTACCGTTGCGCGGATGCGTCGCTCACATAATTCTTTTGTCTGCCTGTAGGCGGAATTAGAATTTTTCTATCGACAATATTGTTTGCGTATTATCTACTTGCGACACTCGGCTCGCATCTCATTGATTACGGGAAATTACTGACGTTAAAATTTACGACTATACTATCATTATTTAAATTAAGTTGTACTATTGCAACTTAGATGATGGTAACTTATATAATGGCATATAAAATGGTCGAGTCATCGATAATCCATGAATTAAAACGTTTCCTACTGTAAGTAATTGTGTACACAATGCGATTTTAATTGCTTAAATAAACTGCAAATAGTAAACATTACGTAGTGTAGTATTAAAAACTAATTTAGATAAAATTTAACGATGAAAGAGAACTTCGAAAACTTGCAAGGAAAGAACGGTTTTGTTAAAATATTTAAAAATTCAACTAGATACAGATGTAAAAATAATTTTGTTGAATTGTTAGAATGATGTAGAACCAGCTGAGCTGGTTGCTATGAATACCAAAACTTTTGCAGTAATTGCTTATAATGCTTCAATTTTCTACATAATTATTTTTAGGATCTAATCGAGTTATTTTTGAATCTGTATGTTTAGCTACATTTTTAGACACGTCGCACAAAATCGTTCTCTTCGTGTAAACTTAGGAAATCTAAAAATTGCAACATGTATATCAAAATATTTAACAAGCAAGAAAGTTAGAAAATTCTTGTAAACATAAATCTTTTTACATTTAGAATTGTGATAAATTTTTTATATGTGTAAAGTGTACGAGTTTGTGTTAAAATTAATAGAGATGTCTGCCTTGTCAAACGAGAAGTTTATAATTAATATTAAACTTGTGGTAATCCGCAAAGAGAAGATCGAAGCATCGTTATACGATCAAAAGTTAGATCATCTTCAGGACTTAACTGGGACAAAATCGAACAGAATAACGTGAATTCCGACAGTGACCCAAATCCAGTTCCGCATTTCACCCGTCATTTTGTTTTTAGTCCTGAGACTAGTTCTAGTCGAGTAACGATTCGTTCCGGTCACCCAGTCTGGGAACGATCTAATTTCTTTTATTCATGCACCCGCTCATGCACGTGAAGCGCACGTCGTAATATTACACCGTAATCCGTTCAGCATTTAAGTATTAACCTTGTTTGTAGTCCGACATATTGAGGGTCTCCATTGGTACCGGAAGTTCCATGTCGATCGTAACACTAGCAATCGTTGACAATAAAGTTGTTACCGTTGGTCTCTTTGTGATGTCGGGGATGAAACTGCTCTCTGTTATCGGTTTGGCTGAAAATCCGAAATAATAGAAGATTAATTAATTAAACATCGTTACATCTCTCTCGTATGAAATAAACAGAGTGACCTAATTTTCTGTAATATATAAAATTGAAATTGCATTGTATTTATATACAATTTAATGTGTTGTTGCAAGAAGCTTCAATGAAAGGAAATTCTGAAATGGAGTGTTGTTGCAATGTTAAAACATACTTTCAATTGATTTCTTGTTATTACAACTTGTTAGAAGGTATTCCTTCCAAGTTGTTGGTCTAGTTGCTTGTTTGCATGATTGCGTTTGCCAATTCTTGAAAGTTCTTCGATTGTGAGCAAATTTACAAACCGCTGAGTGCTCACAAAGGCTGCAATTAATGTATCTTACCAGAAGTCAAAGACTGGATAGTGGATTCCGTAACCGGTTCGGTCGACGACTCTTGAGTCTCCGGTAACTTTTCGGTGGTAGGCGACTGAATCATTATCCAACCATCCGGAGTTGTTATCGGCGACCAATCAGTTTCCGCTTGTTCTGCGAAGCGAACAAACATAATAAATATAAAGCCTAATTGTATTTTAATTAATCGCGATTTTACGAGAAGTTACAATTCTTTTCTTTTAGGAGAGCCAGAAATAGATAGCTTATCGTAATAGCTATAATTTGTTGAGAAAACAAATTAAATCAAAACTAAATGAAAAAGAGAAATAGATAAGAGCCAACGCGGATATCGGTGTGTAATGTTTACAATTATTTATCAATCGTAGTAAGTTATTATACATAAGTGTAAAAGCGTAAACGTTTCGATTGCAATTTGACTTTTCCTAAATGCAAATCGAATATATTTTATTATAATGACAAAAAAAAACATGGGTATTGATAATAAAAACTAATAATATTAAGATACAGATCAAAGTGCGAGAAAAAATATTAAAAACATAAATCACATAAAGTTATATATCAAATAAAATTGAAAGTACATGCTTATATTAAAATTAATTGATTTCAAAATTAGGTAAAAGTTTGTTTATACATATCCAGTACGATACTTTTGCGATGTATATCAAGAAAAAATCAGAAGAATGTTTTCTTTAAGTTCGTGGACCTGTGTTTCTCAGAAAATGTTAATTTCAAGTAGATATACTATGTTAATTCCAGGTAATGCGAACCGGTTTAATTCTCCAATTTGGGTTGGTTGTGAGAAGAGTGAGTTCTGTTTTTTCTCTTACAAGGTAGCGAAGTGAATCATAGTTATTAGGAGATAATTCGAAGTCTTGCCGCTCAACGAAATAGATAGAGATACACAAGGGAGAGATGACCGTAATTGCGTCGGCGGGAAGCCCGGGATGGCCGGTTTGTGAACCGTTATGACATTATGACATTCTATCCCGACGACGTGTCAGAGTGCTGCGCTATTGACATGGTCCACATAACATCTCTACTCGATTATCTTTTCTAGGGTCCGAGGAACGACCTTGGCTTGTATCTATGATGAGCTTGGTTCGTTTGAATAGAATAAAGTAATCACTTGTCGAATAAATGTAAAATGCGAGATGGATTATCTATTTATGTAGCTCAACATAACTCACTTTTGCGCTGCATACCATTGAGATGCAATTATATATCGTTTAAAGTAATATCTCTTAATATGTTTTTTTAAATAAATCGTAATAGTGCATATTTTTTAAATAATTTTTAGATCCAATAATTTATTGAATCTGAAGAATTATTATTTAAAAAAACACATTATTATAGACATTTAAATAATCCAAAAAACGATTTCATTTTCGTTGGATGTCAGTTTTTGAAAAATATTTCTAAACTTTTGGCCTGGATTATATACTTTGGAAATAATAAATAATATTTATTCAATTTGAATCGACATTAAAATTGAAAATAAAAAATTTTAATTTACAAATAAATATTGCAAAAAGCAAAGAACGAATACATACAAAAAGCAAAATTATTTTAATTTATATTTAATTCTTTTTACTCGCGCGTTAATTTTGTATGTGTGTGTGTGTGTGTGTGTGTGTGTGTGTGTGTGTGTGTGTGTGTGTGTGTGTGTGTGTGTGTGTGTGTGTGTGTGTGATGGAGTATTCATGCTTTCTGCACTCTTGGCAATGGGCAGTCACGAATCTTATATATGCTCCCTTCGTCGAGCGACCCTTCGAGGAATTATCGGAAACGTGATTAGCAGTCTTATTGGTTCTATGTCTGTATGCTAATCGGTGAAATCAAAGAAAACGTTCATTGTGTAATGTGACGCCCTTGTCGTCAGTAGGAAATCATGATAGCGATTCACGTTGTATGGCATGGCACGCCGTATGCATCGAAACGCTGCAGCGAAAACCCGTTGACGGATTGCTATGTAAATTTGATGTTTTTGCTTTCGCCTTTTATTTCAAATCGACGATATTAACCATTAAAAATTAAAATTTTTCTACTTTTAAAGTGGTGAGAGTCAATATAAAAAATAATTAACACGTTACGATTAATATTACAATTAAATATAATAGTTAAAATAAGTTGTTGATTATTCAGTTGCGCAATTGATAAAGTTATTATATTCTGATTAAAAAAAAAAGTTAACTTTATTCACCTGATGATGTAGCTATTGTTGACGTTGACGTTGACGTTGACGTTGACGTTGACGTTGACGTTAATACTGACGTTGATGTTGGCGTTGATGTTGGCGTTTGCGTTGACGTTGATGTTGTTGACGAAATCGTTTTATTGGATGCCTTTGTAGAAAGTTCATCGGAGTTGGAACTCCACGTTACTAATCCTGGAGAATAAGTAGTCAACGGAATCTCCTCGAGAGTGTGATTAACATTCTGACCCTTGGTAGGAGGTACGTGGGTCGAAGTGCTCTCGTTTCTAACTGTAAACGTGGATATCGAGCTCGAGATACTCGTAGTAACCTCCACGATATTGGATGTGTTCACAGGAAGCTTCGTCAAAGATGTCGGTTTCGTCGTGCTGGGTCTTGGTCTCGTAACGCCAACCGTTGAACCGACAGTTGACGATAATGGCTTCGTTCCTGCTGTAGTCAACGTGGTGCTAGTGTATTCAGGTCTAGTAGTCTTCGTCGTCGTACTAGTGATTTTAGTGGGTTTCAGTTTCGTTGTAGTTGATGATGGCTTAGTCGTGGCCGGTCTGTTGATTGTTGTTTTAGGCGTTGTCGACGGTCTAACGGTGGTTATTCTGATCGTCGATGGTTTCGTTGTCGTTTTCAAGGTCGTCTTCGGCGTTGTCGTTTTGGTAGACACTTTATGATCCGAATTCGTAGGCGTAATGGTAGTTTTCTGACTACTTGTATTGGTAGTTGTTGTCGTTGCAGTCAATGGTCTAATTCCAGTGGAGGCTAAAGTACTTTCCGTTGCTCGATTTACACTCGTACTGGAAGATCCATTGCTGAACAAGCCAGAGGTTGAATGAGGCTTAGTTGTCGCCGGCAAAGTGGTCCCGAAGCTGGAATTCGTAAGAGGCTTTGTTGGAGTTGAAGGTCTCTTTGTCAACGTAGTGGGTTTCTTCGTAGTCACCACTGGGCGTTTCGTTGTCACGGTGGTACTAGGTCTTTTAGTGCTAGGCTTTCTCGTCGTCTGAGTCAGTGGTTTAACCGACGTCGTATTTCTTGGTGGGAATCTGGTTGAAGGCACCACTTTCTGCGTGCTAGTCGTGAGAATGTTTTTGATCGTAGTCGTGGTCGATTCCTGTTGAACAATCGGTCGAGTAGTTGAAGGGAGTGGTTTCTGAGAGATCTGCACCGTTGGTCTCTGCACTGTTGTCGTGGAGATAACAGGTTTCTTTGTGGTCGTTCCCGATGTGATAATCAGTTTTGTTAAATTTAGAGTGCTAGGTCGGAGTGTAGAGTCCAAAGTGGTCGGTTTTGTAGGTTGTCTCGTTATACTCGGCGATATATTTGCTGGAATATTTACAGTATTGTTGGTACCCTTCAACGTGGTTTCCGTGCTAGGTCCAGCGTTTTGCACAGTTTGGAATGTCGAGAGGCGAGTAGTCTGTGTAGTCATTTCGATCGTTGTGATCGTTGGCTTCTTTGTCGCGAACTTCGTCATGTTTCTCATCGTATTTGCTGAAGTCTGCGTACTTTGCGTATTCAAGAATCCAGATATTGTCTACAAAATTATTAAATTAATTATATTAATGTTTCGATGTTATATTAATGTAAAAAACGTTTCGACTCTGAATGGGTTATTTTGAATGTTACAAATATTTAATACAGATACATTCGTTATACAAAATTCGTTATCCGAAAAAAATTAACAATGTATCAGTTCGTGTTCGTCATGCATTGAGTCAATAAGATGAGAATTCAAAAGTCAGATTGTATAAAATTTGGTATTCTAAAAAATTCGTGAGCAAATTTAAAAATAATTAATCATGAGAAAGAGGAAATAAATAAAAATTAATAGTATACACACACATACCTTGTCAATAATATCAGTAGCACATTCCATAAATAAATAAAAAATACATGTGTGATATCAAAATTAGGTACGCCAAATACATTATAATAGAAGCGAATTTACAGATCTGTCGCACTCATCTCGACCAAGTCAGATAGCGCAATGTCAAGAAGGAAAACATACTGATCACAGAGGATGTAAGAAAGAAGGAAAGGATAAATATTAGGAAGGGAAAAGAGAATGTATCGTATTAAAATACATCTCTGGCAATGAATCCGTGTGTCATTTTGTTTGTTTATTCCATGTTTCTGCTTCTTTATATGTACCATTTCAGAAATCAATCTTTTATTGTATGCAGTATTGTATTCAATGTCTAATATCTCAACTTTGTCCCACTTAAAATTATGATTTATCTCAATACGGTGGTTAGACCGAAGGAGACTTTGAAATTTTATTGATATCTGAAATGCGCTCATGTACTGTTTATGATAGTTTTCTATAAAGGAAATAAAAATTTTATACATATATCATGATGCAGCGTGCGGCGTATATTTTGTAGGTATTCGAAATGAAGATTATATCATATTTAGATACATCTTAATAAAACGAAAATTTTTACTTAGCGATTTGGTTTATACCAATGATTACGTTGATATAATTATTGATACATACCAATAATATATATACCAATAAAATTACTAAGTTTCTACGTGTTTATAAGTTACACATATTAAGTGTGCTGATCAAGCATTTTAATGAAAAACTTTCTTTCTTTAATCCTGTATGAATCAATTGTGAGATCACACGAGCTACTGTAATTATCTCGATGACCTCATTCAGAGAAAGTTATTACATATCTGAATGAGCTGAGAAAACATCACGTCGTTCCTTTTCGCGTATTGTAATACCAAGCTATGCTTTTTATCGTCGTCTAAATTATTCAGTGACATTTAAAAACTTTTTTTTTAACTAAAATTTACAAGATAAATGGAATTACAGTAATCATATTATCTTTATAAATAAAAAAAAAACAAGCGAATTATTTATTATTAATTCACGTTTGTTTTATCGAATATTAAGTTCACTGTGTATGATTTAACAGACTATAGTTATTTGCGAAGGACGTTACTTCAATTCCATCGAACCGTCTCTAGGAACTCCAGCTGTCACTCCGCTCATTTCTACTGACACATGGCGAAACGTGCTAAGCCGGCTCGCTGCTTCATTAGCGATCGTCTACTTGCCGTGATTTGTGAAGCCCCGACTGGTTTCTTTTCATCGGTCGGCTTGGACTTCGTAAAGTATTCCGGTATGCCGCTGCTCCCGATAGGCCTCTGGGTCGTGATAAACGGCCTTGGCGCCGGCGGGCCATCGTCGATGCTGTTGTCTTGCGGGAAGATGTCCGGCTCGTCGTCAATTTTGCAGCAGCTACCGAAGTAGAAACGATCGATGCATGTACCAAGATGCGTGCCATTTGCTTTCGCGCAGGTAAACGCAAACATGCACACACCGGTCTCACCGCTCCTGCGTGACACGCAGGGTAAGTGTCTGATATTTCTTCCCGTGCCTATAAGAACGAAGGAATGCCATCATTATATTCATCTATGACAAGCCGATTTCCGACCAATCCCCTTAAAGGTTTTTTTTTCTTAAACGAGTTATTTTAACCCTTTGATGCCAACATTATATCTACCACCGTTTTGCCATAAGTACAACACGCTATGTATTACATACTCGATCCAATTTGGATTGTTTATAACTTTCAAAAGTAAACATATATAATAAACACCATATTTGTTGTTTATAATTAATGTTTACAATTTGAAATTTTACATTCAGAATATAAATATTATGTAACGCATGTGTTACATTACATTTACATAGTTGAGTATGAAATTATAATATGTTATTATGTCGATGTTATTATGTTTAATTAGTATTTGACTGTGAAAAACAATTTTGTTTCCATTTAAACGCCAGAACATTAAAAAATGCAACGATATCAAATGGAGATAAAGAGATATCTGTATCTTTATTAATAAAAAAGTTATGAACAAATGAAGTAAACAAAAGCTTAGAAAACTATTTTTTTTTTTTTAAAGCGTAGTATAATCGAAAGTAACACTAAAGGGTTAGAAGTGTTGTCTATATACTGTTTCTAAAATGCTATTTAATTCTTAACTTGCGTGCTCGGAATCGTATTAATATCTTTTTGCACAATACTCTCTTTCCTCTCATCTAATGCTTCATAAAGATAATTCGCCGGAACTTGCCGTCGGGATCTCTCATACGTGATTCTCTCAGGCGATAGAGGATTCTTCCGTTCGAAAGATTATCTCACACATTAATGCGAAAGTAAAGACTTCTTTACCACAGGGGAAAAACTATGATATAAAACGTTACGAAGTGATGCCTCGAGGTAGAATTCTCCCCCCGAATGACCGTCAACGGTGGTTAGATAAACGCTTCCGTGTTCTCTGATCTGCTCTGAGAAGTATATATATCAACCTTCACCCGGTGTCTATAACTGTTCATTCACGATGTACGTTCTACATTCCTGCCCGTAACACTTCGCTCTCGTATCGTCAATGTATCTGCTTATAATTCTCTCTTAATGATCTTGACCGTTCAACTGCGATCCCCACCGCGGATGACAGGAGACGCGAGATAATTACGAAATTGATTCATATATTGAAAATATGACGAATAGCTCTGCAAGCATCAATGTCAAGCAGATGTGTAAAGTGATAACTGTGATATTTTATTAATATGGAAATTATTAGCGCTTATTGATAATATTTGTCAAACTTGTTACAAGTCTACTAGATATCATCTGTAGTGAATCTATTGGATCTTAAAACAGTTGTGGCTACCGGTAAAAAATTGATCGCATATGCATTAATCGGATAACAGGAATCTTTTCTGGGTCTTTAGCGCATTATGCGTCGACAGAACGGAAAGTGGATAAACAAACAGATGTCACGTGAAATTTTTAAAAAGTCACGAATATCAGAGGCGTATAACGGAAATCTGCTTTGACAATGATTCATACGGTCGTGCAATACAGTTAGCCACGAAAGACGCAACGCGCGTCAGAGGAAGATAAAGAAGCGTGCTCTCGTCGCTCCGAAATAACACGTGAACTTTCGGATAAAAATGGATAATATTGCATCGCGAGACTGTAGAGAATATATAAGAAATAGGTATTACACAACGTGCATTGTAATGACAATTTGAATTAATCAAATTAATCAATTTCAATGAAATAAAATGTGTAAAGTTCATCAACATGATCCGAGTAAAGATCAGAATAAGATGTCATAGCTTGCGTGCAGCTCGCTTCATCTTCGACAATTAAAAATTCCAACGGGGTCATAAATCTCGTTGGAAACGACCTCCAACTTGAATTTTCTCATGATTTTAAATCAACGATCGATTGTAAAATGCTAATGCGTGTACGGCGTATGCCGCATTATATCGGGGAACGAACGAATTGATGTCAGGCGAGGCGAAGCATCCAGGTACCGTTAAGTTTCAATGTATGGGCTAGTTGCCCGACCCAAATGTAGGTCACAGTCATAGCCTAATGTAACAGCCCGTTTCCCTCTAAGACACCTCACAATCTCTCTTTTTTCTCTCTCTCTCTCTCTCTCTCTCTCTCTCTCTCTCTTTCTCTCTCTCTTTCTGAGGTCTTTGGCCTAACGAAATTGCCGTAAACATTCCAGGGTGCTCCAACTTGGTATGATTAAACGATCATACTTGACCCGAGATGCTTGGATGGCGCGTTCTCAATATAAACATGGAAACCCATGAACGGTATTCCCGGAGTACATTCTGTGTACTCCGTGCCAAAGAAAGTGACAGATCACTTAGCGTGGTGAACGCGAGACTTTACGTTAACGTTACGCCAAGCTTAGACGATGAAGAAAAGAGATAAAGAGAGATTTTATGATATGAAATAGAAATTAGAGATGCCTATCACGAAATTAAACGTCCAATTGAGATTTGCGTTTTATCTTAATGGACAAGTTACTTAATATACCAAATAATCAGCAGTAGCAAGAATGACAGTGACATACAACAGACGGACTGTAGTTTGCGTACTCTAAACTGGCACGAACGGGTCGTTAAAGCGTCATAGTTTTTCAGCGACTGTTTACTTTCTTTTGCCGGCTTGTCGGGTCGACGGACGTTTCGTGGCTAGTGAAAATCAACCGTAAAATTGTTTGCGGTCCCATAGTGCTTGCGCTACCGGGTCAGTCGGTCAGGCTCGCTCGCCCAAAAAGTTCTGAACGCCGCCCGGTCACCCTTCCGCGTAGAAAATGCATGCTGGCGGAAGTGACACGTTAGTTAGTCATCAGCGTGAAAGAAAGTTGACGACACCTTTTATGTAGCTGTCGGAATTTCAAGCGGTGCCAGATCATACGGGAGAGTGTGTAAGTGTGCGTGAGTGCGTACGTGAGTGTACGCCCACGCGAAGAATTTCACTCGCGGCATAGTTCATTGTAGGAAAGTGCTTTATCTGATCGTGACAAACGTCACTCGGATATGCGGAAGTCTCGCGTGATCACAAGGAAGAAGACCCGGTCGTCGAAAACGATCCATATCACCGTAACTGTAGAAACGACATCGTAAAATTGGGTTTATATAAGAAGAGGTTAAATGTCTTATTGCATGTGCATGAGCAGTTTAATTGGACACAATAAAGTACACGGAAAGAACGGTTTTGCTGAAGTATCTCAAACATTAGCTATATAATACATAGGTATATATGATATAAAGACAAATTTGAGTTATTATGCAGAAACATGAGCAGCGCCGTAAACAATTTTGATGACATTTTAGCGACCAGTTTGAGCCTATAATTTTGATGATCCGACAAACTTATTTTCAGATTTGTATCTAGTTAAATTTTTAAATATTTCAACAAAATTCTTCTTTTCGTATACGAGAGATAACGATTTGTGAATAATTATCTCATGGATTTCTGCCGCTCAATGGAAATGATCACACGAAAATCGTCGAAATCGAGGGATGGCGGGAACGGAAAAGTCACTGTAAGTCACGCGGCTCGATGACCGTGGTTGACCCACTTCTACAGAAAACTGACCAGTCCGCCGGTCCGCCCACGTTCCGTTCGAACGTGAATTCAAGGTAGGTTCAATGCCGCTGCACGACGGAGACGGGCGAGTGCTTACGCACACGCGTAGATCGGACATCGCTGTGCCGGTTACTGGTATTTGTGTACCGATCCGTTACTCAGCTGACATACGAGGAAAATGCAACGAGCGTGAAAGAGCGGGACGAGCAAAGATATGTCGTCAGTCTGTAAGAATCAACATTCCACACAACTAGATCGTCGTTTTAAGTTTTAAATATGTATATTTTGCAAAGTTGATTCTAGACAAACTGGGAGAATGTTGATAATAAATAATTTCCTTTTATTACAAGAAAACATTATAAGAAATTTTTCTAAACGAGGAATTTTTTTTTAAATTTAAATCGGTAAATACTGTTTGTAATGTTTACATTACTTGAGATTTTTGTTCAAAAATATGATACAGCTTGAAGATACTGATAGATCAGTAACTTCAAGCAGTGCCTCAATATATCGTCTGCAGTGAATAATCAGAAGAGGCATAATTCTGAAAGAATGTGGCAAGTTTTGGTCGGTTACTTCGGTTACGTTCACGATTATATCTAATTAAAGGTACTTGTAATTGGAGGTCGATATGCCGAAGGCACCACGCAATTTCCGTAAGACGACGTAACGGCAATTTAATCGAATTACGCTCATTAAATACCGTGTATTACTTCAAAGAAACTCTCCAAATTACACCGATGCTATCTAGGAAAAAACTATTGATACTCTTCCCGCGAATAATAGAGCAAATTAAAGTACTTACTTCCCGGTTGAAATTGAGGAACATAGATCGGGCTGGCGATAACAACAGTGTAGATCAACACATTGCCGATGATAACGGCGGACCAGGCCTGTTTTTGCCTATCGCACATCTGAAATGCAGAAAATCGAAAGAGATTAGATTTACTTTCTAGAAAGGCTAATCTCTTTCCTTTGAGATTGTTATTTTGGAATTGAGTCGTTATTCAGTAGACTGCAGATGATAAGGATCAATATTTATAAAATATAACTTTGTATAATATAAAATAAGGAATAAAAAATAAGTCAAAAAATAAAAATTATAAGTTGAGAAGTTTATTACGCTTTTGTGACGATATCCCCGAGATGACTGTTTTCCCTCATTTCCCTAAATCGGTTGCGTGGGGTCTCCACTTTCAAAAGTCCCGTTATCTTTCTCGAAATAATCAAACAAAATATTATCGAAGAAATGTTTTAACAAAAGGCTTCGGTAAAGGTGAAGGTTTTTGTATTAACCAGACCGTATATCTCATGTATGTCTTGCCTGTTTTCTTATGTGTATACAAAATAAGAGTAAGCGTGTATTGTATGTATCTCGAAGCAAAGAGTGATTCCGCGAATATACAGTGAATGTAAAAAGTATTCTCTCATGCAGGAAAAATATATTTTAAAAACATTTTATTCTGAGGAAAAGTAAACATTAATTAGAAATTTGTTAATAACAAATAGAATGTATTAATTATAATTGTAATTATAATTAGTTCCATGGTTATTTTACAAAATGGTAATTATTAATATATTGTTCAAATTAAAAGAAATTATTTGGACCATATATATTTTTTTTATTTATAAAAAATAATTTTAAGAATTATATAATAGCTATTATATTTATTATTAATAAATTTTTAATAAATTTTTATTAATAAATATTTAATTAATGTTTATTTTTTAATAAATACAGCTTTTTTTACAAAAAGTTTTTGTATAAACTTTTCACACATACTGTAATTTATACGGCAACGCACTCGCTGCATTATTATCGTTATTTGTATTTCCTTCGTGTTTTTTTGATTATTATTCTTTCGCGAAATAGCAAGAAAAACAAAGTTGCTGAAGATTACAATTTCTTATCTCAATGATCTGATTTTTATCTTTCATGAACGTAATTAATATAATTCACCCCCAAACTTACAAAACTAGTCCGTTTACGGGTAATTAATTTAGATTTAGACAATGCTGACTGTGACATTCGCGGTGTGGCGATTAATCTGGGAAGGTTCGCACGAAGAACAGACGGAGTGAAGAAGACTTTCCGTCTGGATGTAATTACATGATGTAATTGCATTTAATTATAGCGAGACGTCATTATACTTGTGTCTAAGCTTTAACGTTCATTCTTAACGGCGTGATTCGTAGACGGTTTGTTTCAATTCGACCGGATACACTTAGTCGAGCCACTTTCGACCGGCGTGTCATCTCTCATTTACATCTCTTATAATTACGGTGATAATTTTGATAAAGATTAATGCCCTCAATGTCAGAATGATATTAAAATATACTTGATAAATCATCGTTTCCAAAAAGTGTAGCTCATTTATCTTTCACAAACAGAACAAACAAATGGTAACATAAATAGTTCAACTGCATATTGTAGGCATCATGCCAAGTATAACATACTTTTGATGCAGAACTAAACACAAACATTATATATAATTAATCGTGATTATTTGATGATTAAACACGATCTTCTTTGCAACGGCATATTCACATTCTGTTACTATCTCCAAAGTTATAAAAACTGTTAACGAATGAATGATAAAGCAGAACCAATTGCCCATCGTGCAAGAAATTATATTCTGGATCAATAATTCAGGTCTCTCTTTCTCTCTCGTGTTTTTGTTTATTCGTATAACACATTTGAAATGTGACCAGGTATATATATGCCAACATCTGACTCTTTGAAAACTGATCTAGAATTAAATTACGGACACAGATAATTGTTTCACAGAGCACGATGTATGTAATTTACTTTTCATCCTTTTCGTAATTAAACAGGATTTGTTTAATTATTGAAAATCTTGGTGGAGAAAAAGAAATTTGGTGTAATATAAAACTTATTATGAGTTGTTATATGATGTTTAATAATTTTAAGTTACACGAGTCAGTAATCGTATTTTATACAATTTGGGCTTGACGAAAGACGTTGGTTCGGTCAACGACCTCTTTACCTACAAAAAAAGGTTCACTTTATAAATACATTCGACGAGTGTGCCATCGATAAGAATGAAGAAGCGGAGGAAAAATAAATTTTTTATCGAGAAAAATATTCTTCAGTTGATTCATTTCTAGATCACGAAATCGATATCGAGTTTTCGTTTTCGATCTCTAAATTCCTAGAATTTCGCAACTTTTTCTTCTTAGCCATCATCTTAAGGTATTAATTATTCGGTCATCAGTGATGTGATAATTATTCGATAAACGTAGCCGTGCAATTCACGAGAATCGGATTACAGTTATTCAGAGATAGGAATTTGGATGTAACGTTATACTTCGCCGATGACGTAATAGCGAGCGGTAGTCACCTGTCGATGAACAAGTCAATTTAATATTTTATTTAGTAAAATACTAATTTAATGTTTTATTTAATAAAGCTAATATAAACAGTTCTATAAATAGTTCCATATATTTTTTAATAACTAAATAACTAGCTCAGGTTAAATTTAATTCATTTTAAATTATCTAAATTAAATTATAAAATGTATTAACTTTTTAATTTGATTACTTAACTTTTAACTAATTTTAACTCATTATTATTCAATCTTTTTGTTGAATAGTAAAAATACCTTCTCTTTTCGCTTAAAGTCCGAGCACACGACGTTGGTGTTAATTGACTAGAACGAAGCATACATAATTCGACAAAATGCTGAGCGGGTTTCAATTGATTCGTTGAATGTGCTTGATTGTTAAATGTGGACTCTCTCCTTGTAAGTTAAATTATTCATGAATACCATTGCGCTTTATTTGCAAATTTGTGACTCGAAAGCCACATATATAAACACAATCATGTTTTATAGAATAAACGGAAGGTTATTTAAAAAACAAATTTAATCAATTTATGATTTTTGTGATTTTCTAGCAATATTAATAACGTATTATAAAGTAATATTATTATTCTTGTTCTTTTGGTTTCCATTCTTACTTTTACCCATTCTTAGTTTTTAGGTTGATTCACAGGTTGAGTCTAAGTATTCTTTTCACGCATTAGCGTATAAAAATTGCTCATTTAAATATTTATGGAATTGATGCTCTTCTTTGCGTAACAAAAAATTGCACATCCGCCGACAATAGCGTGTCTTAATTGGCGGACGAAAGCGACGAGAACGCACGTGCGTGGCGTATACGCGAGCAGAAAAGGCTTTTGTCGTAACGTAGCACTCGCGCAGTAACGGTACCTGCCACTTTCATTTGTACTCACGTATCTAATGTGATGCGCACATGTGGGTTGGCGCCGAGATACACTCTATGCGCAAATAAAACCGTAAGTCTTAATCCTGAGCGCTGCGAGCCACGCTCCGCAATAAATGATTTCTTTTCAATGGATATATAATATAGTTACTACCACATCAGATGTAGCAGCTCACGCAAAACCAGTAAGTTCAAACGATGCCAATATCCTTCAGCTACCATCCGTGAAAATTATTCAAGAATATTACGAAATCATTTGATATGCTTATAAGTCCGTTATCTTAATCGAGATTTCACGAGGGATCGATTTAAAAAAATTGTTACTTTTCTATTCATGTAAATCGCTTCACGTATTGGTTTTAACTCTTTGGGATACACTGACGGTGAGTTTATTGAACTAACTCAATTATGTCTCTTTGTCAAAAATGACAAATTCAATTTTCGTTACGCTACATCTGAAAATTTGAATTGTTTTTATTAAAATATACTTATAGTGTATTTTATCATTTTAATTTTTTGAAGGTATTCAGTGCCTTTTAATTTATACAATTAAAAATTAATATTTAAATTAAATAAGTCTTACAGAGAGAGACGCAACGTCAATAATTACACCGGAAAAAGAGTCTGATTGCATTAATTGGAATTCTAGTAGAAAATAAACAAATCACAATTTCTAGTGAATTAAATTATATTCAACATCTTTTTTGAAGAAAACTTTACTCGAAATAAATAGTACATGTAATGTATACTATATCACATCGAGTATTTTCCTCGGAGAGAACATTTTAGAATATAATCCTGACAGAAATAACCAGATGCCCTATCATGATAAATTTTGACTTGTATGATTAGAATTTATTAGTTTGTTATTTTTCAAGAAATTTTTCTCATATATATGTTACAGATTTTAGCGTTAGTTCTGGAGGGGGTTAATGAATTTGTTATAAATATTAAAAAAAAAAAACAATGTACATTGTATATTAATGTTAATTTATATTGTTTTAAAGAAGCATTTAATGACTGTCTCGAAATAAACAGATTCGAGGAATACTAGAATTTTCTTAGGGTAAACTCTCATGAATTATGTATGAAGCTGCGTAAAATCGGGACATTAGTTTACACACATACACTCGCCTGGCCACGTACGAATGAAATTCAGTTGAAATGAGCTAATATACCGCTATCCTAAGGAACATGCGGCTAACTTCGACAACGGATTTGCAATATGTCCCGCTCGTCGATACATGCCACATCCGTATACACACATAAAACCTCGGATTGATTATTCGCAATAAACCGTGTTCATCAAGCGGATAATATTGGTATGTGCTGAAGTGCAACCACCGTAGTCCGTTGTTCATATGTTTTGCTTGGCTTAAGCTTAACCAAGTGTGGTTTTCGCGTCTTTCTATTTCCGTCTTTCTTTTATTTGCTCTTATATTAAAGAAGATTTTATTTACAAAAACAACTGTGATCTATCTCCCCGCGATTATTAAAACTTCGATTTTTCATAAAATTTATCTTAGAACAAATACAAGAATAAATATCTAAATAGAAAAGTAATAAATATAAAAATAAATATCTAAATACAAAAGTGAATGATTAGATCCGTAAATATTGTTATATATATCTAATAATTATTCGTTATTATTCGTTTTATCTATAAGTTCATTGATCAATTCGCGGAGTCGTGTTTCCACTTTGAAAAATTCAATAACATTGATAACTTTTTTAATCCTAGAATTTATTAAATGTTACAAAATATCATAAAAATGATTCTTTGTTCGGGAAGAATTTAATGTCGTTGATCTATCAATAGACCGACCAATCATCCGGCCGCAGAACTATAAAAAGCATTAATCGCGCCGATGCCGACTTCGAGGATCAAGGACGAGAGACCGCAGAGGAAATCACCTGTTCGGCCAAGTTCAGTACCCACCGTGACTAGGAATTCTGCGGCAGCACAGGAATCACCAATCGCGCGATGAAATCGTTTAATTATCGTGAATTATCTCTGAAGGTGCGTTACCCTCTTACAAAAAATAATACCACTGACCGTCGATTGTAATCTTAACGAAGGTCACTCGCGCAAGAAAGTATGACGCTTCTTCATATCTTAGGACCTTGAGACAGAGTCGTAAGCATACCTTGACTGACACCGCTCGACAGATCGCTGCTGTTGCTTCTGTTTCTGCTTGTAACGTTGCTGCAAAGCTTCAAGTTGTCAAACTGTACGGCGATGCATTATCTCCTCTTGATGATGTGATGGTCGAATTAAGTTCTCAACACGTTCCACGAGATCACCTGGATCACCTGACGTTAGTCAGACTCAGATCTCGCACCCTCGATCGCAAATCCCCGCTGAACAGCTGCGGCCACGTGGTCGAAGCCTATCAAGTGGTATCTCCCACGCCCGGCGCCTCCCCGTTTCATCTGTGACCCTGTGACCTTTACGAGCTTTGGAGAACGCCCTTCAACCGATCTCGGGACATCCGCTCGAAAGACACGAGATATCATACGTCGCGTGCGACAGTCAGATTCGCGACAGGAATCAGAGGATGGGAGAGAAGGATACCTCTTGGAGTGGCAGCCGCCGGCTCGACCTGCTCGCCACGACTGGCACCTATCGAACTGGTTTTACTCGGTTCACGACTTCTGGATCAACCGATCCCCCGATCCTGGTGTTCGCTTGTGGGCTCGCTCCCCCTGCACGGAGAATTGGCAGGCCACGACGACACGCATCGGCCGAGCGCGCGCGCTGGTCGCGTTCTCGTGAGAGACAGAGAAGTTAGCCCCCCACACAGGTAAGAGGTAAAGCCGAGTAGGTACAAACGACGGCGAGCTAAACTGCTGGACAGCTACGGACGGTAGACCGTGTCGGGGCCGGCGCTTATCGTGCCGACGAGGACTCTAGCGTTCGGGCACTTCTCGAGGTGAGGTGGTGGCAATGACCGTTCTCTCCCGTGTTCTTCTTCGTCTCCCTCGCGCGCGAAACGTCCCGACCTGCTCCTCCTTCTTCTCAGCCCCTTTTCCATCAACCTGTTGCGGAGGTTCCCTCTTCTCTACCGCCAGCATTACCACCACTACCATCACCACCACAACCACCTAGACTTGAGCATCATCACTGTAGTTAGCTTCCTCTCCTGCTCGTATGTTGTTCCCTCACCCTTGGTTGCTTCTCTCGTCTTCCCCACTACGACCTCGTTGTCGTCGTTCGCAGGTCGACGGCGGTTGATCGCTCGTACTTCGTCAAGGTGTCTCCTTTACGTTAGTTCTTACATTTTTTTTTCCTATTTTTCTTTAACTTTTTCTTCTCAATTGCTCCTCTGATTCATCATTTTTATTAGAAGATACCAGTGTTCTTTTATGATCGCAGTTTCATACTATAAACAAGGGGTCTTGATAGTTATTGATAGTAGATTTATAATGTACCTAACATATTAATTGACATAAAATAGTTTTTCTTATCAAATGTTTTTTATTTAACTAAAAATCCAGTCGTCTCAATCTTTTCCTAATGACTCAATCGTCATTAGACAAGTAATAATTTTATTGTTCCGCTTAAATTTCGTATGCTGATAACATCATATGAGGATGCATCTTCCATTTTTCAGATATATTATACAAACAGTATGCTGACTAATTATCTACATTAATAATTTAGTATATATGTTTAAAAAAATTTTCATAGAAGTATCACGTTGTACGATCTAGCTATTTTATCAGAATATAATTAGATCTCTCATTATTTTACAAGAATAATTTATTTTATATTATGTCAAATTATGATTACTTGTATCACATAAATTATATATTTATGCAATTTTTTTTTATTTTTACTATCAGCTAATATATTTGAATATTTAATATGTAAAAATGAAATATTATAATAATTTTCTGTTAATTTCTTTAAATAGCACATGACAAAATAATTTCATAAATAAGCACTTGTATATGTCCAACGTATGGCATACTTACATTTCCCTGCGATTTACCTGCATCAGGTAAGTCTTTACCTATAGAACCGCCGCATGGTGAGTGTTCATCATCGTTACGTTTGTTTAATCGAAATAAATAACCACGAATTAAAAAGAATGAGCTAATTAATAATATTATATTTTCCGATTAATAATATTATTTTTATTAAAATGAGAAGTATAATGCAAAGAAATTAATATTAGTAACATAATTAAATTACGTTAAATATATTTTTAATATTCTTCGTACAAGAAAATACTAAAACAATAATTTTATAACTCAACTTTGTATAATCATTAGTGCTTCCATTTAATATTATTTTTCATGTATTGTTTTATTCTTTCTATTCCGTATAATCTTGTATCCTACTTTGATTCTTGTCAGTGACATTTTCTGCAAAGGGTAGGATGACTGGTGGGGTTAGATCTCAGAGATTGGTTGCGGTTTATAGACGAGGGGATGCATCGAAGGGTGCTTTCGTAGGTATATATACTCCTGTCGGCGGCGCAGCGGCTGATTCGAACTACTGAAACATTCGCTGGTGCATTCAGAAGATATCAGGATACTGCGAGGGTGAGAAAGAATTTGTAAGATATCAGTGAGTTGAGCTGTCTTGTTATACAAGTGGATATTTGTCTTCAATTGATTTAGTATTTAATCTACTATTGAAATCACCACAAAGATTTATTTGTCAAACGGTGAGTTTATTGATTTGGAAAAGAGTTTGAAAAGCTCTCAATAAAAATCTAACCGTAGATTTTCCGATTATTAAACTTATTAGAGTATCATAAAGTATTTTTTTAGATAAATTTTTATTTATTTTTTTATTATTCATAAAATTGATACTACATATATTTTATTCTGAATGTATTCTATTACAATTACAATTCTTGTTTATATATTCATTGAATTTTAATTGTAAAACAGTCGCTCTAAATTAATATAGGCTTTCTTTCTATGCAGAATAAATTATAACAGAATTATGCTATTTCTTAGTAACTTGAGATATGAATTACCGATAATAGTAGTAGTAATTACGGATTAATTACCGTACTCTATTACGATCGTTTTAAAATTGCAATTAGGATAAATGGCTCAATTACTAAACATTAAGAGATATTGTAACTATGAGTGCATGAATATCTAGCTGATAACACTTTAGTTTATTAGAGATAAAGATATAACAAGAGGGTAAATATAATACTTGAATGATAAGTGATTATAGATTAACAGCCAGCAAAGAAGTTAAAATATTATATCAGTATTATTTATTTTTTCATTCATGTCCACAAAATTGATGACATTAAGAAAAACACTAAAAACCATAAACGTTAAAATAAACCATTAACATCAATAATTACATCATAACTACATATAATTTATTCAATACGCATTTTGTTTCTTTTACTTACTTTTGAGCCTATATTAAATAAAATAGTTTTAATGACATTTCGATATATGTATATACTTCCTGTTAATTTAAATTTAAAATAACTCAAATGTGTGACTCTTATTAGCCTTGTACCTTTTTATTATATTTTAAAATGACTTATTTCAGTATTTACTATTCTTACTTTTTTTACATATATATATATATATGTATTATATACACACACACATACAATCAATAAACACATACATACACATACATACATGATAACCAATTAACTTGTTAACGAAACACAAGTGTTTTGCTGCAAATGACGGCACCGTAAGTAAAAACATATTAGCTGTTTTCAGTAAAGAAAACTGATCAGTGAGTGTTTAGCGATTTATTAATATTTCCTACATTTAGATTCACCAATGAATTACGAGAAATTATAATATATTAAAAAACTACTGAGCATTCTCTGATCAATTTTGTCTTCTAAATTCACCTATTTTATCGATCCGGTAATCAGTCAACGCGTGATAAATGTACCATCATCACAAAAGGACATGGTTGAAAATTAAATTTCGTGATTGATTTGATATCTTCGTTATCCCCGTAATCGGTTGTGGTACCCTCGTATGTATAATCATATTCATGAGAATGCGGCACAACGAATTTTACATATTCAACGAAATTGCGTCGCGACTCCCCTCGTCGTTCATCCGTGGTTTATTTTTTAACAAATTTATTCTGACGATCTGTGCCAGCCTGTCGCTATTCGAACTGATTTCGTAAGCAAATTAAAATTAATATCCAGTCCTTTGTTATTCACAGCTCAAATAATTCCTTTTTCTTTTGTGACAATTTATAATTAAAATTGCGACAGAATAGTTTAAGCTCAAAGCAGAAGGAATTCACGAAAAGAAAAAAGTTCAAAAAGTTCATATTATATTTTAATCAACTATTCTGCATAAAAAATATAAAATGTACGATATCTTACGGTATAATACGATATTTGTAAGGAACAAAGCATTTCTTAACATTTTTAAAGAATTCTTTGATTGATAGAGAGAAGTTGAAGATAATTAATATTGCATGTTAATTGTCGAGGAGCTACTTTCTTATAAAGTAATCGCGTCGAAGCGAACTCGCAGAAAACCCGCAATGCTTGATCATCACCAGCTTTTACAACTTTTATTACGCGTTAAAAGATTTTCGATTATATATATTCCTTTGATGTGCGTCACGCGTCAAAACAGGAAATTTCTCCATGGTGGAGAAAAGGGAAAACGTCGTTTCTACCGTAAATTCACATATGAATGTCAAAGCCATGCCATCTCCCAGGATTTTTTTGCATACAAGCCTCACCGTATCGTTGCAGCCACGAGACGACTGCTTCAAACTGTTCAATATGCCGACACGGATGAATCCTATTCGTTTCTTCTGTTGCTTGCTTGTCATCGTTATCGGAATAACGATTACCTGTGCCGAACCGGAACCCATGACTAGATTAACTAGAACCAGACCATCGCAACTCAACTCAAACATCCAGCTACAGAGATACGCCGATTTGGTTAAAAATTTTTATCATATGTATGGAAAATCGAGGTAATTACATTTAACGTTGATGCTAGTTATTTCGTGATACGAATCAGTGAATAATAAAGTTGCTTCAAACATTATTAGTAAATCAGTATACGATACGTATGTAGGTACATATGCATGGTAACACTATTCGACAAAAAGTGACTTATTTTTTTATACCAGAACACAAGACTCACTTTCTCTAGTTTTTTAAATGCTGAATACGAATCTGTTTTCTATTTGCTACATCATGTCACAATTTTAAGAAATTTACAATTAAAGTTTCAAAAAAGGCTATTTTTACATATTTTGTCAACTACGATATGTAATGTGCTAAAGAAATTTTATTGTCGAAATTAAGTACGTTATTAGAATGTTCAGCTTTCTTAAAAGAATTTTTTAATAAACGTAAATAATACCGATTTATATATTTAGCGTCTAAAAATTACAGAAAATTCATTAATTCCGTGCGATGTTTCTTTTGTCAAATAGTGTAATAGTTACTTTACGATTGTTACTTTACTTTATCTCAGATTAAAACAAGGTTTACGTGGAATATATAACAAATAATTATTACATACCATTATGATAAAAGAATGTATACATGAACTTATTGAAACGCTATAAGTAATTTCAATAAATAATTATGAATAAAAGATTATCTCGAAATGTAAAAGAAGAGACACAAAGATAGTATGACCGTACGTAATAATAAAAACAGAATTAATCGTAGAGAGATTAAAAATGCGACTCTCTCTCTCTCTCTCTCTCTCTCTCTCTGTATCATACGAGCAGGCATGGTAAACGAAGTGATGCTGCGCCGTTGATGGAACTGAATACCACTTGGGAGACCCTGAGGATGATTCAGGATGCGCAGCGGCAAAACGAACAGCGAAGGCAAGAGAACATCAGACAGAACAAAGAGCAAATCCTGCTCCGCGACTTTCCGAACTCGGACGCCGACGAGTATACGTTGCACGATGTTACACGATCCGACTCTCTTTCGGATGTAATTGGCAAATATTACAATGATGTACAATAAACAGTTCCCAGTAACATTCTCCTCTCTCTCCTAATATTGAGATTAATTATCTCTCGATTTTGAAATAAATCAAAGTTGATTATTGTCCCGCATAATCGTAACGCTTATCAATATTATATTTCGCTTCTTTTTTTAGTTTAATATTCGGATATGTTGTTGATATGTAGATAAAGATGAGAGTACGCTTGAAAATGGAAAAAACAAACAGCGTATACAATGGGAATGTAATTTCACGTCGGAAATATATGAAGGTAAACTGAAAATCAGTGCCTGAGATAATACTTGAGATAAATGAAATTATACAAATTATATATGATACAAATCGACGTAGCACATTTGTAATCTTATAGTTAACCTTGCATAAATATAAATATAAGCAATATACCTTACGCAAAATTTTTTTGTTACAATATCTAATACGTACATAATATAGATATGAATTGAATTTAAACATCTACTCTAACAAACATGGAATTTAATTAATATATTCAATTAATACAATATGAAATAATAAAGAATTACAATTACTCTAATTTATTGTAAAATAATGTTAATTAATATAGAACAATAATTTCAGCAGTTAACAAGTTATAATACAATGTGGCGTTACTGTATGATGATAATGGTTTATTATTCTATATATAAATTAATAATTATGGATAAACACTTACTTTTCATTAAAAAAACGGAATTTTTTCTTAAAATTTATTCAAACCTGAATATTATCGCATTACTAAGCGTTAAATTAATTATGGAAAAAGTAAATATAACGATTCATAAGTAATTTCAGTAATTTATAAACTTGCAAACAATAAAATAAAAATTAAAAAACTGAATTAAAATTTTTACTAAAATGCTTGTTATGTACCCGTCATTATGTTCCTCGCTTGAAGATGTTATGGTTTCATTTTTTACTATCATTTCTCATTAACCATAAAGACATGATCTTCGTTAAATAGACGAACTGCACAAACAGCATTTTTCTTCAGTTTACAAGTTTTCTCAACAGAATCAAAATAGAGAGGACCAGGACATGTTTGAACCCACGCCACCATGCCACCGCTACACAAACAGAATTTTTTGCAATCATCGTTTGGGAGTAATACTCCAAACTCAGGTCCTTCTTCTGGACAAGTACCAATACAAGTAGATGGATCAAAATTGTTATATGTCTCACGTTTGTTGTTATCTTCATCAGTCAGAGTTTTTATCGAATTGTCGATCGTTTTATCAATCGTAAAAGCGCTATTTTGATTGTATGAACGTACTCCACAAACAGCATCCCTTTTCCGCCTGCAAGTTTTCTCAACAGAATCAAAATAGAGAGGTTCAGGACATGGTTGAACCCATGCTACGCCACCACTACAAAAACAGAATTTCTTGCAGTCATCGTTCGGGAGTAGCACTGCAAACTCAGAGTCTTCTTCTGGACAAGTACCGATACAAGTAGATGGATCAAGATCGTTATATGTTTCATATTTGTTGTTATTTTCATTAGTCAAAGATTTCAGAAAACTGTCATTTTTGATCACTTTAGTAATCATGAAAGCGTTATATTGATGGTACGAACGTACGCCACAAACGGCATCCTTCTTTTTCTTACAGACCTTTTTGACAGAATCAAAATAGAGAGGTTCGGGACATGGTTGAACCCATGCCACGCCACCACTACAAAAACAGAACTTCTTGCAGTCATCGTTCGGGAGTAGCACTGCAAGCTCAGGGTCTTCTTCTGGACAAGTACCAATACAAGTAGATGGATCGAGATTGTCATACGTTCTATGTTTGTTATTTGTAGTGATTAGAGTTTTCATCGAATTGTCATTGTCGACCAAATTATCAATCATGAAAGCGCTGTCTTGATTATATAAGCGTACGCCACAAATGGCATCCTTCTTTTTCTTACAGATCCTTTCAACAGAATCAAAATAGAGAGGTACGGGACATGGTTGAACCCATGCCACGCCACCACTACAAAAACAGAACTTCTTGCAGTCATCGTTCGGGAGTAGCACTGCAAGCTCAGGGTCTTCTTCTGGACAAGTACCAATACAAGTAGATGGATCGAGATTGTCATACGTTCTATGTTTGTTATTTGTAGTGATTAGAGTTTTCATCGAATTGTCATTGTCGACCAAATTATCAATCATGAAAGCGCTGTCTTGATTATATAAGCGTACGCCACAAATGGCATCCTTCTTTTTCTTACAGATCCTTTCAACAGAATCAAAATAGAGAGTTACGGGACATAGTTGAACCCATGCCACGCCACGACTACAAAAACAGAACTTCTTGCAGTCATCGTTCGGGAGTAGCACTGGAAACTCAGGGTCTTTTTTTGGACAAGTACCAATACAAGTAGATGGATCGAGATTGTCATACGTTCTATGTTTGTTATTTGTAGTGATTAGAGTTTTCATCGAATTGTCATTGTCGACCAAATTATCAATCATGAAAGCGCTGTCTTGATTATATAAGCGTACGCCACAAATGGCATCCTTCTTTTTCTTACAGATCCTTTCAACAGAATCAAAATAGAGAGGCTCAGGACACGATTGAACCCATGCGTAGCCACCGCTACACATACAGAACTTTTTGCAATCGTCGTTTGAAAGTAACACTACATACTCAGGATCTTCTTCAGGGCAGATACCGATGCAAGTAGACGGATCAGGATTTTCAACTATTTCATCAATTTTTTTAATGTTGTTCTTTTCGTCTGTCACATTGCAGGCATAATTCTCTGGGAAATCACAGACTTTCAGAACAGGATTAAAAATGAGATTTGGGGAGCACTTTTTAAGTGTACTAATGCCATTCTCGCAGACGTAATACAAATTGCAGTCGGTATCATGAGGAATATTGTAGGTTCCTGTTATTTTTTCGCACTTGGTTGGTGTTGATGTAGTGGGTATGTTTCCTTCAACGTTGCAGACAACGTTCTCCGGATAATCGCATACTCGAAGTTTTGGATTAAAGTATAAGTTTCTAGGACATGTCTTCAAAATCTTCTTACCATTGCTGCACTTATAGTAAGATCTGCAATCGTTTTCATGAGGTATTTCTTTATTGTCATCGTAACATTTACTTAAATCGGGAGTGATAGGAAACGAGCCTTTAGGAATCGTCGTTGTGAAATCATTGCATCTGGCTTCAGTTGGCACGTTACAAATCTGACGAACGTAATCATAGTGTAGCCCATTCAAACAATCTCGAAGAATCCGTTTTTCGTCAATACACTCATAATATTGCGTGCAATCGCACTCGTGAGGCAACAGTACTTTTTCTATGGAGCCTGCGGGAGGACAAACATCTAATATGATTGTCGGTATAGGTTGAGGCCCAGGTGTATTTAGATCACATTTCTTTTGCGGATAATCGCACATCTGTATAGTAACGTTGAAATGAAGTCCTTCTATGCAGTGTTTTAAAACTTTTTCACCTTTTAAGCATAAATAATACTCGGAGCAGCTATTTTCATGACTAAACGCTCTGTCGTTTGGAGAACATTTATTGTTAGTATTGTGATCGTTAATTTGGATGTTGTGAGATGGAAATGGCGAGACGCATTTTACTTTGGTGCTCCAATCGCAGACCTCTGTTGCGTAATTAAAGTACATGTCGGTTGGACATGTTCGTAATACCTTGTCACCTTCCACGCACTCGTAATATTGATTGCATATACATGGATGAGGAAGTAGTAATTTTTCGGTGGATCCCTGAGGAGGACATGTTATACGGGGTTCATCGATAGCTGTTGATGATGTTGTAAGTATTGTTGTAGGCGGCGAAATTGTATTAGCAACACATTTGGCCTCAATTGGATCGTTACAAATTTGCCAAACGTGATCAAAATGTAGACGATTCGGACAAAATCGAAGAACTTTCTTTCCACCAATACATTCGTAATATTGTGTACATTCACATTCGTGAGGCAAAAATACTTTCTGTACGGAATCTGGAGGAGGGCAAATATCCAGATTGATTCTCGGCGAAGATTTGTTTAGATCGCAACTCTTTTGCGGATAGTCGCATGTTTGGATGGTTGTATTGAAATGAAGTCCTTCCTTACACTGTTTTAAAATTTTTTCACCGTTGGAGCACAAATAATATGTAGAACAATCGGTGTTGTGTAGAAATGCTCTGCCTTCTGGAGCACATGTAGTATTATAATCATTAATTGGAATGTCGGAGCTTAAAATGTTAAAAGTTGGAATCGGTCGAATACATTTTACTACTGAGGCCCAGTCGCAAACCTCTCTCTCATAATCAAAATGTTTGCCGATTGGACATGTTTGTAAAATCTTTTCACCATTTATGCAATCATAATATTGGTTGCATAGACATGGATGAGCAATTCGCGCTTCCTCCGTTGATTCCCTTGGAGGACATTTTTCACGGGGTTTATTAGGATATTTTGTTGTTGGAGTTTCTGTTGTAATTGTAGGAGTTGTTATTTCTTTTGTAGTTGTTTCTGTTGAAGTTGTAGTCGTTGGAGTTGTAGTTGTTGGAATCGCAGTCGTTGGAATCGTAGTCGTAGTCGTTGGAGTCGTAGTCGTTGGAGTCGTAATCGTTGGAATCGTAGTCCCTGGAGTCGTAGTCGTTGGAGTCGTAGTCGTTGGAATCGGAGTCGTAGTCGTTGGAGTTGGGGGAGAAATTGTAGTATCAGGTGACGAAGTAATTCTTTTTTCACAGTCTACGTTTTCTGAGTAATCACATTCACCGATTACTGGATTGAATAATAAGTTACTTTCGCATCTTACCGATTGTGTACCTTTTATGCCGTCGACACACCAATAATAATAATCGCACATAATTTCATGAGGAATCTTATAGTGCTTGCCATTTGATACGCAAATCCAAGCTATTGGATCCGATTTTGCCGGCAATGAGGAATTAAACGGTGGCGAAGTCGATGATGGATTTGATCTATCCATATTCGGCAAAGAGTTATTACAGTTTACGTTTTCAGGATAATCACATACACGAAGCAGTGAATTAAATAATAAATTGCGGTCGCATTTCTGGGGGATAGGACTTACCCAACCATTGAAACATGAATAGTAATAATCGCACCTAGTTTTATGGGGAAGCATGTGTATTTCGTCATCAGACGTGCAAGAATCCAATGACGGAGTTGTCGGAGAACTCGGTGTCGGAGTCGTCGATGTTGTAGAACTCGGTGTCGGAGTGGTTGGCGTTGTAGAACTCGGTGTCGGAGTCGTTGATGTTGTAGAACTCGGTGTCGGAGTCGTTGGCGTTGTAGAACTCGGTGTCGGAGTCGTGGATGTTGTAGAACTCGGTGTCGGAGTCGTGGATGTTGTAGAACTCGGTGTCGGAGTCGTCGATGTTGTAGAACTCGGTGTCGGAGTCGTCGATGTTGTAGAACTCGGTGTCGGAGTCGTTGGCGTTGTAGAACTCGGTGTCGGAGTTGTTGGCGTTGTAGAACTCGGTGTCGGAGTCGTCGATGTTGTAGAACTCGGTGTCGGAGTCGTCGATGTTGTAGAACTTGGTGTCGGAGTCGTCGATGTTGTAGAACTTGGTATCGAAGTCGTTGATGTTGTAGGACTCGTTGTCGGAGTTGTTGGCGTTGTAGAACTCGGTGTCGGAGTCGTTGATGTTGTAGAACTCGGTGTCGGAGTCGTCGGTGTTGGAGAACTCGTTGTCGAAGATGTCGGTGTTGTAGGCGTTGGAGAAATCGTAGTATTTGACGTAGTTATTGATGTCGAAATAGTTGATGAAGTTGTCGAATTCGATGTCTGACATCCTGCACGCCAGGGCCAATCACATACTTGAAGTTTATAATTGAAGTGTAATTTATTACCATCCTCATCCATGAAAGGGCAATCTATTTCCTTCCCTTTCACTCCCATGTGACAACTATAGAATTTAGTACAGTCATTTTCATGAGGCACAAAAACTGTCTCATTCTGTACATTGGTCTTGGGACATTCTGTTGGAATATCAGCTAGTGATCCATTGAGGATACCCAATGTGACCACGTATAAAGTGGCCACTAAATATGTGCCTAAAATTCAAATCAGTATATGTATATATATGTAATGTTAGTTATTTTTTAAATTAACTTTAGTCATTAAATTTGAAAAATAATATATTATCCAAATAATAAAATATAAATACATTGTTTATAATTTAATAAAAGAATGGAAAATCTATGAAGTAACTATATAATAATAAAAATATTTTTAATTTATATACATATATCTACGAACAAAAAATAGTCATTGAGTATGTGCGTAAAGTTCAAAATAATATGTGTAACGATACGTCAGTTATTTATGAAATTTATTTCAGTAATTAAATTAGAATAATAGTATTTTACTCATTAAATTTATAAGTATATATACTTTGTATATAATTTAATTTAAAAAATGGAAAATCTACAAAGTAACCATACATATAACAATAAAAATATCTTAAACTTGCATGTATTACTATATTGTTTTATGTTTCTTCATGTTGACATTTACGCACAACCAAACACAATTACACGCACTGCACAAATTTCTCTCTTTTCCTGCGTGCCCAAATAATTGTTCTGCACATTTGCCACTCAATAGTTATCCAATTTGTTAAATAATTCTCTTGTTTGTTTCTATTTTATCACTTTATCGGAATTCCGTCAAACACTCACCTTTCATCGTGGAAAATCCATTCGCTAAAATTGAAAAGACAAGTATCTACTTCTTCACTTATTAAATTGTTAACTGACGAATTCGTCTTTACGAAATGAGTTTTATAAGCGCACGGCGCGTTATCGCATAATATGTGCTTATCATATCTTATACATTTGAACTCCTCTCAAAAAAGTCACTTAAGCATATCAAAGCAGGTGCAAAAATATATTTATATGTATCAAATACAGAGTGTCAATTAAATAAACGCGAAATAAAATGATGAACGTTCATATAGAGGACAGAAATTTTATTTTATTAAAGTATTCGCCTATCACAATGGAAATAAGAGTATAATAATCTCAATATAATTAAAAATATTGTAGTAATAAAAATGTTATTTTTTTTAGGAAATATTAAAATATTACTAAAATAAAATACACAAAAGCTAAAAGTTTCTTAACTTTGTTTAAAAATTTAATTTCTTATGTGATTTTTGTAAATTTATTTATTAATTATTTAAGATATTCTATCAGTCTATTTGAAACAACAATGTCTTTATATAGTGATCACATATACAATTTCTAGAAATATCTTTAATAAATTTCTTTTGAAATAGAAAAAATATATTAATTTTGATCGAAATTTTCTGCATTTTACGATTAAACTGTGTAATTTTTCGATAATTAAATAATATGATAAATAATTGTAATAATATACAACTCGCGATTAAAGATTTTTTTTTATTAAATTTTCTTACGACAGTTTTATTTTAATGAGATTTTAGCTTCAAATAGTTGCAAGAAGTTATGAAAATTATAAAATTAAGATAAATGACATCTTTTAACATTTATAAAAAAATCGTGAATTATCAGACATATTGTCATCGAGAGAAAAGAGAAACGATTAAAAATTTTGATATAATAAAATAATTAATTTTATTTTACTTTCGAATAATCAGACACAGATATAAGTAATAATAATGATAATAATAATATAATCAGGTCATATTAAGTACTCTGTTATCTACTGATAACATTTATCAATTTGGTAATGTGTATAAATAATTTTCAACTTTAACCTACAAACACAAATGTATTATATGAATCTTGCTAAACACTTTTATTATAATACGTTTATTATTCACAATAAGAAATTATATCGTCTACACTAAAGAAGAGATACGTGTGTGTTCGAATCATATCATTGTTTCTTCCATCTCTTCAGTCCAATATGTATGAATAAGCGATACAAGTATGGGGAGTCAAAACTTCGCTTCTTTGCATTTCAATTCTCATCTACCAAATTTTGCGCTGTATCTCTTGTTTATCTGTCATGGGCAATTGGTTATCTCTGGCCAGTTGCAGACTTGCTTTGCTTCGTGAAAATGTAACTCGGGTGGGCAGGACAAAACGATAAGCCTACCGTTGCTGTATGAGCAAAATTTGTTACAGTCATCCCTATACGGCAGAAGTACCACTTTATCCTTAAGACATGAAATTGGAAATGAACCGACACAATTAGACGGATTGGCTTGTTCCTTGGGTATATCTGATTGAGTATCTGAATTCAATCTGAGGAAACATCCTGCAGGTGGCCAGTGCACTGCTTAATAACGTTATTGAAATGCAGACCATCGGGACACTTGTAAATTGTGCTCTCGTCTTCGTGACAAATGTAATATAGATTACATTCCTTCGGATGAGGCAACCTGATGGTGCCTGAGGACGGAGAACTCAGGTGCCTTCACAGATACTCCGGTAACGATAACAGTCAAGGCGGCAATAATCACCATACAATTACCTGTAAATTGTAAAATTTATTTTCGATTCATCACGAGAAGATCTAGATTTTTTTAACAATCCCCCCTTGCATATTTCTTGATTACGAAAATGATTTTAATCTCGCTGCGTATAACAAGGAATAACTATTATCGACTTTTATAATCGAGGGCACCACCGATGATGCAGGATTTGTTCTCGCCAATACGCGTTAAAAAAAAACAGTGACGATAAAAGACTATATCTTTTACCGGAAATTTGACTTACTTAGATTTAATGGTTAAATCTTGTCCTAGTTTTAAACGGATTTTCGAGTGTTCATGAAAAAAGAAGATAGAAAACAAACTTAATCGCTTACGATATAGGTCGCGCACTTTAATATCTGACAGGCTTGATATCAAACTTACGCACACTAGTATTAAGAAACTAAATCGTTACTTATCTTATTACTTATCGCGTTATTTATCCTGTTGTTGCATATCGTGTTAAAGATCATGTAGTCAGAAATTTCATTGTAGTTATTTATTTCATATTTGGTATATCAAAACATATCACATATTCGACAGTTATAAATACAATAACTGGCGGTTGCAACAGACGTATTGATTTTTATATCAATCACACATCTTATCGTTTGATAATAATCTTGCAGGAAGTGTATCTTATCCCAAAAATAATCTAACTGCGAAACCGAAAGATTCCTTTATAACTTGATAATTAACTGATAAAAATATTCAACATCAACCTCAAAATCAATTGAATTAATCAGCAGAATTGTGTAAATATATTATTTCGAAAATTTTTTAAATAGTGCAATAGAATATCATATGTTCAATATGTATATTTATGAATTTATATCGCATTATTTTTGGAATTTTTAAATGTTTTCAAATAATATTCAGAATAACAGTTATATTTCTTAATGAACGTGCGAAATCTTAACGACATTGATAAAAATAAAAATAAAATTACAAAGCGAGCGATTTAGGTGAATTTTTTGAGAAATGAATATTTAATGATAAATCATCGATTATCTATACGTATCATATGAATATATCTCGTATACAATATATATTCGCACTTCTGAGGTTGCAGTGGAAACCATTATGTCTTGAAAAAATTTTCATTAAAATATGTTTTATAAATAACCGTACGAGTCTTTTTACAACGGAACGAGAGAGGGAGAAAGCAACCAATAAAATACATATGACACTTAAATATAATAATCTGCAATAAAACTGTAGTTTTATCTAGAACAGCAATTATATCTCTTTGTGTGTATACTTGATAAAATATTTTATTTCCCAATTTATGGATAAATAATAAAATAAACTTTTATAATAACCGAAAGAAGAAGAGCAAATAAGAGTGCAATATGTATGTGTACCTTTTTCAAATTTGATCACGACTTCTGTATGCTTTTGAATATCAGATTAATTAAAAAAATGTAAGTCTAATGGGACTTTCAAATTAAAAAATAATAATAATTAAGTAGGACCGATGAAAAAGTGGATCAGGTATGGATCTCGATGAAATAAATTAATTGATAAAGTAATCGACAAAGTCACATACATTTAAACATTTTATTTTAATTTCGAACCATCTTCTAATAATCTTACTAGTATTAAAAAATAGCCTCAACGCTTTCTATTGCATATGATTAGATCAATCCTGGATCCTTAAATATGTACGAGTATTGGTCACAGTTGGTTGGTAAATTGAATAATCTACATCGTAAAAAAATATGGATGGATTTAACACCATGCAGTGTTAATGTAATTTTCACTGTGTTATATATAAACATCAATATGGATTTAACGATATGGGTTTTTAAACTGTACTATGTTGGTGTTGATAGTATTAATATCAGCATAGTGAGAATTATATTTACACCGCATGGTGTCAAATCTATACCTATACTTTTTAGAATGTATGGGCTATGATAATTGTAAAAAATATGGATGTAGATTTAACACCATGCAGTGTTAATGTAATCTTCACTGTGTTAGTTTAGTATAAACATCAATATAGATTGAACGCTATGGGTTTTTAATCTACACTATGTTAGCGTTATTAATATCAACATGATGAGCATTAACATTGGTGTTAAATTCGTACTTATATTTTTTAGTTTGAAAGTATGGGCTACAATAACGCGGCTTAAAAAAATAACATGAAAATTCTATAATTCTATAAAATACGTCTACCAATTAGAAGGCAGCATTTTTACTTATCAGCTGAAACAGAGAACAGAAAACTAAAATTAAACTAAGTACAAAAGTTTACAAAACAATTTACAAAACATCGTGAAAAACGGTATAAAAACAAATATAAGTGTGGAAAGAAGTCCGTAAAATGAAAATAATAGTTAAATAATGTAGAAATCGAAAGTGAATAATAAATCAATATTAAAGATAAAAAAATATAAAATTAAAAACTGAATAAATAAAAATAACCTCGAAAAAATAATAAATGGTGAAAGTAATATTATAACGCCTTCTGTTTTGTAAGAGCAAAGCGAATGCGATATACATATACGTTTGAAAGTTGTCTAATTAAATTTGATATTTTCCGATTTCGCTTTATCAATACCGACAATTGAAATAAATATCGAGTGACGTCACGTTACCGATAACGACAAGGTTACGCGGACTATGTCTGAATTCTTGTGAGGGCACAAAGTTCACCGATTAAAAGATCAAGACGCGCTCTAAATTATCACAATAGATCATGTCATAAATTTTTATTACATATTAAGATTATTACGAGGCGATAGGATACAAAGTGGAGCTATAAATCTTTCTTGGAGTACAAGATTGTAGTTTACGCGTTAAAAACAGTCACTCGTGAATCACAATCAACCTTGCAAAAAAATATAAATAAAGATTGCGTATCCAATCTGTTAGCTTGCATGTATGCAATCTTTTTCCTTTACAAATACATCTGTTACTTTTATTGACTTTCTATTTGCGATAAATTTTCATCATTTACGTCACAACGACAATTATTGATATATATAACTTATAATTATGTGCGTTTAATGAATATATAGTAAAAAGTAATACATTTAATTTTATGTTAAATCATTAATTCAAAATAATTATAACAATCTTCGAAATTAACGGGCTTGTCTACTAGATTACTTTGTAATAAGTATGTTTCTTTTTTATCACCTTTAATCTAATGCTTTGATAATGTCACATTGACCTGCTATTGAATTTTATAACTGAAAAGGTCGATATCAAAGCTTTTCAATAATATTGCCGCTTTGTTTACAATTCGGTGCAATTTAGTATAATCGTACAATAAGATGTATAATTGACGATAAAGAAAACATTTTTTTTTTCACTTAATTACTTAATTTTTCACATATGATTATAGATGAAAATTATTTACAAACAAAATACTTTTCTCTCTCTCTCTCTCTCTCTCTTCAGATTCGATATAATTACTTATTATAATATGAATTGCTTTGTATCTTAGACTTTAAAGAATTAAATAAATATAATTACATATTTTATTTATACAATTATTTTTACTAACTGTATAAAGCATTAACTATATTTTATTAATCTACTAAAAACAACGTATTTTTAGACATTTCTTAAGAGCTTACAATGGTTAATGCTTATCCAATTAATCATCATCCTACTACATTACGCAATCCCTCCATTATTGTGTCATAGTGATATCATTCTTTATAATACGAAACATTGCAAATCTTATATTTTTCTGTCATTTTGATTACTTTAATTTCAGAGTTGTATTTTACACGTAAAATATAATAACATCTATACACGTATAGTGTATATATAATGTAAATTGTGTGCAAACTACGTTTTACGTATAATCTATATCTACGCGATCTATGAATTATTTGTTATATATTTTTTATGGTTGTACTGAACTGTATGATAAAGTTTCTATCTTTTGTTTATATATTTTTATTTATCAACATTAAAGATATATATTGATAATTATAAAATCTATACTTCTTGCATTGTGTACGTATGTAATTCAATTTATAAACACATTTTCCATTGCTTGTATCATATTTATACATGATAAAGATTCGTGTAAATTTAACGCAATCAATACGTAAATATTCCACGTAAACGTAATCATAAAATATATTTGAGACACAGTCACAACTCTATTTAACTTTCGTTCCGTTCAGCTGTGATTCGCGTTTATTACGCGAAGAAAGTGTCCGTAGGCGCCTAGACAAGTAATCAGCTGCATTATCGCAACGCCCGCTCATATCAGATCATTGAGACTTCTCACATGTCGCCTCCCGACCCCTCCATCCGTAAATTAAATATTTCGGTCGAGTCATAATTGAATCCAGGTCAACGGGGCTATTTCCCGACCGCGTTCTCTCTACCCGAAGTACGAATCAAAGCGTACCTAGCAACACGCGCCGATCTTAACTCCATGCGCGTGCTTTATATTTGGGACGAGTTGCCGCTTGGTAACCGCTTGAAATCCTACGTCGGTAACGGTGCTGCCTGTAATCGCTCAACCACACCAAGATCGCATGTGTGTCGAACGCGCATTCGTGCGCGCGCGCGCGCGCACACTCTACTATCTCCCTTTGTTTTCGAAGCGCGAATCGCGCCTCTCTCACGTCGTTGCACACAAAGTGCACGTCGCCGTCGTCGCTGTCGCGGCTGTCGTCGTCGTCCTACTCCCTCAAAAATAACGATCCAATGGGAAGCGTGTAAACAATGGCTGCGAGCGCGCTGGTTGGCCGCGCTGTCGTCAAGTCGGCCGCTTACGGCGAATCAGCGGTGCGGCGCGCCGCGGCGCCGACGGAAAGCGGCGGCGCACCGTCCAAGTGGCAGTACCCCTCCGTCCCCCTACGCGATTGCACGTCGAGAGCGTTCAGTAGACTCGGCCATTTCTCTCGCGAAACGTAGCGACTCGCTCAGCCGCGCGACGGTTTTTTTTTTTCGCGACTGCACCGTGCGGGGTATACTCCCGGAAGTTTTGCAAAATAACGCGACGCAAAAGGATGATACACTCCGGGCGCACCAGGCTCGAGGTAAGTCAACCGCGCGGACGTAACGTCGGGCCAACGCGGGGACCCGATATAACGCGGCCGCGGAAACGCGCGTCGAAGTGCTGCCACACACCAAGTCCGGGGGGGTCGTGCGTGTTCAATGTTGTCATTGCCGTGGCGAACAGCTGATTCGTTCCCCTGGCCTCCGCGAAGCGTGGCGGCCACCACGGGCATCCTCGTCGCCACCGTTTTGCGTCCCGATCGTGACCAAGACGACGATTGTGACCTACGACAAGGACGACGACAGTGAAGGCGTCATGCGCCAGGGCATTCTCTCGTTATTATGGCTGGGATGGCTGGCTGGCTGGTTGGCAACACGCTGTCATTCTGCGAGCCTTTTTCATGCGTGCGACGTATATAATTCTCATCGACCAACCTAGGCACAATCGTGCAATAAGCGAGCTCAGCTAGCTGGCCTAGCTTTAGTCAACCAG